ATATATTCGATCCGACTACATCCACCCTAGATACGAGATCAGTTTTTATATATAGACCATTTTGATCTAGAAATTACATCCGCTCCACCTGTGGAATCGTATCCATCATTTTGAAGATAACTTTATCATCTCTCTTGCTGTTAACTGATGGGTATCGCAGTTTAAATATATATATATATATATATATATATAATATGTGAATGTGGAGAAATAATTAATTTCACAAGATCATGTAGAAGACAAGCTTATATTATTAGAGTGAGTGGGGGCGTTTTCGGTGTTCCCCACCACGGTCATGTCTTACAAGTGGACGACAAATGTTCATCTGTCTCCCCCACGACAAAGTTTACTATTTTTGTTTTGTTGATTTTGGCATTTGTTTTGTATAGTTACCACTTGCACTTATTTTGTTTTCATCATGACAAGTTTGCGTGTGAAAATTACTAATGTAACAATGATAACGAGAGATCAAAGAACCACCTTAACTAGAAACACAACAAGATATATTTCGCAATAATATATTCATAATCACATATATTACAACCACAAAAGGCGGACGATCCGATCATATAATACTGTAGAATTATGTATATGTGTATGTATGCATGTGCGTGCATACATACGGAGAGAGAGAGAGAGAGGAGCAAATCTATTGGTCGTCATCGTGACAAATGTACATAAGGATAAGAGAGCCCAATGATTCAGCAATAATGAAATCTTTCAACGAATCAGGATTTAGTCAAATTTTCCATCACATGTTACGAAGAAAATTCATTAAAGATACCAAAAGGCTAATATAAAATGCAACACAAAAAAAAAAAGAAGATGAGAAGTCAAATCTTATAAGAATGGCACTAATTAATTATAAAACCAATAATGTATTGTATACTGTTTACATATATTACTCTACTTTAATATATAAATATAGATATAGATAAACCACATCTTTAACCGCGTGATGAATCCGTCTTTGGTTGTCTATCTAATTTGAGTTGTCGTGATAGATCACCTATATCGATTGATCAAGAACATAATACAATTGTCCCATATATAGGATATAGGATGTTCACACAAAATAATCTTGAGGGCTAATATAAAACACAGTAGGGTATAGTACTTGTAACATATGCATGGTTGAAAATGTTCTAAATCTCATTTTTAGAATGTTTCTGCTAATAATACATGGAAAAGAATATTGGATCAATTCATATACATATTCAACCCATTTGCTACATGATATAAAATGAAGAAAATTCAAAATGAAAACCCCAAATATTGCAGCTCAAGTCTATGACCAAAATGCCAAAAAAATAAAAAATAAAAAATACAGCATTCAAGTAATACAATGTTGCCTTCAAACTATTCAGATCAAAGTTCAACATATTTATGAGGTAAACTATCATAAATCTTAGTCACACTGATGATATGTTTTGTTCTGGTTCTCTTATAAATAGGTCAACTAAAATAATTTATAATCGTTTAATCATCTTTTATCTATTGAGATGTTTTGTCTTGAAGCTTTTTCAGAACTATTTCTTAACTTTCGCATATATGTATCGTTCACATTTAACTTATATATATATATATATATCAAACGTTAGTCCATAAATATTTGTAACGTCTTCACAACACCAACATTTCTAATCCAGCTTTGTTTAGGAGTTTATGATATTTTTTTTGCTAAAATAAATTGAACTTATTCATGAGTTTATTAGGAATTTTGGTTCTTTTCACTATGAGAATTTCGATCGAAATTCCTATTAAATTTAAATTAGATTATTATTATTATTGTTGTTGTTGGTAAAAGATAACTCAAAATGATGTCTAAAAAACTGATGAAAAAACACTTTGAATTTCTACCTTACCGTTTTGTCATCTATACTCGGTTTTATTATTGTTGTTCTTAAAAGAAGAAAAAATATTTTGTAAATTAATCTATAGGCAAACCGATTTTTTATTAAGAAAAAAAATACTTAACATAATGTATTATTCTGAATTTATTAACAAATTAAAATAATTTAGTTATATTATTTAATAGGAAAATCTTAGCAATTTTGAAAAATATAAAAAAAATTGTTTAGTTGTCAATATAAGTTATTGGAAGGATCTAGAAAAAATATACTTTTATATATTTTTAATAAAGTATCAATCATATATTTACAAAATATTAAGATTGTTTACGTATAGGGATGTCAAAAAATTCCAAAACTCATTACCCAACCCGAATTTGCTCGTAAAATTTACGGATTTAAGTTAAAAAAAATTAAGACCCGTTTGTCTATATTCAATCCGATCCGACCCGAAAAAAATATGGGCCAAAAAGGGCTATATATATTCACATATATAGATAAATACATATATATACATATATACATACTCATACATTCAATCATACATATATATATATATATATATATATACGTCCATTCAATCTTATATATATATACATGTTTATATATAGAAAATATAAAAATTTATGTAATAAAGAGAAATATAAAAAATTAAAAATTTGTTTAATACTAAATAAAGGATATAATATTTTAATAGACAATATATTCAAAATTAGAATATCATTAGTTTCAAATAATTATTCAGATTGAATAATATAATAATTTAATATTTAAATAAATTTTATTATCACAAAAAACTAAAGAATTCGATTTTTAAATTTCTCTTAAATCAAATTATATGCTATTAAACTTTGTTAGCTAATTTTTGTTTTTTAGTTATCTCGAGTATGTATTAAAAGTTTTGTATTTTATTAGTTATTTTTTAATTGTATCGTTATAGTTTATTTGTTATACACTAATTTTTTTTGAATGTTCAAACCCAAAACCCAAAAAAAGCCCTTAGGAACGAGGTTTGGACCTAAGATTTTAGGTTCATTTATGTTTCGGGCCGACCGGACCTGATCCGGTCTCGAGTTGGACTGGTCCGACCCGGTCATTTTGACCCTATTTGCGGGTTTATTTGATAACTATGTTGTATTTCATTGAGCTTAAGACATTTTTTCCTTTAAATAAAACTATATGGTAACCAGAATTTCGTATCTACCACAATTTGTCTTCAATAATACAACCTAAAAAAGAAGAAAGTTTTCATCAAAGAATATATATATTAGTTGATTAGCTGATGTATTATCATGCAGATCTATTGGCTTTCACTTCAAGGCTGATCAACTCAAATGTGTGTGTGAGTATATGAATGTATCTACACATGTGCGAGTGTGAGCGTGTGTATATATCTACGCGTATATATAAATATGGAAGACAAGCTTAAAAGTCCATCGCCGCGCCTCTTTTATTCTTCACTTTTTTTCTTTCAGCATGAACCTGTAGATTGATCGAAATAAGACCATGGAAATAGAAACATACATCCATTTTCCGAGAGAGATCTTCAACCGGTTTTCGGTCAGTTTCATATTCAGATGTATAAGAGTTCTCATCAAAAGATCTGTGTCTTTGCCTTTTAACTAATCAGTAATCAGCAATCAATCTCTTACATCGATCTCCCTCCTTGTCCTTTCTTTCTTCATCTTGGTTTCGTTTTCGATCTTGAATGAGAGTACTATAAGGACGGGAACGTGTGAAGGAATCGAAAAATGTCGAGAAAACCGTGTTGTAGCGTACAAGGGTTAAAGAAAGGGGCATGGACCACAGAAGAGGACAAGAAACTCATCGCTTATATCCAAGAATTCGGCGAAGGCGGATGGCGCCACGTTCCCCAAAAAGCAGGTGTGTGTGTATGTATATATATGTATATGTATATATATGTGTGGTGGTGAAGAAGATTCATCGAATTTGTATATATATAAATATATATATATATTATGGTTCAGGGTTGAAAAGGTGCGGAAAGAGCTGTAGACTGCGATGGACAAACTATCTGAAACCCGATATCAAGAGAGGAGTGTTTAGTCCAGAGGAGGAGCAAATCATCATCATGCTTCATGCTTCCTATGGCAACAAGTATGTATATTGTATGATCTCCAGCTTGCATGCTTATACGTGTATATATACATATATGTATCTGTGTATATATATGTATGTATCCCTAGTGTGATGATCGATGAAAACTAAAACCAAAGAGGAACATTTTGTGGGTTCGTTTGATTCAGGTGGTCGGCCATAGCAAGGCATTTGCCGAGGAGAACAGACAACGAGGTTAAGAACTACTGGAACACGCATCTCAAAAAGCGACTGTCCGAACAGAGCATCGATGCCTTGGCACACAAGCCACTCGGTTCTAACCCTAGCTCTTCTCTCGAGAATTCCAATTCCCAATATGCCTCTAACCCCGATGACGACGAGCAATCCCTCTCTCCTCCGACATCGTCAGAAGGTCCCTTGAGCTGCAAGAAGCTTTCCTCAACGTCGAATTTCACTTCTCTCCTGTTAAACAAAGTGGCCACTCGGGTTACTTCCGTGAAGGGAATCTTGTCGGCTTCCATTAATGGTAGCTTAACCGATCTAACGCCGCCATCACGCCTCCCTCGAGATCTTTCCCAGGTTTCAATGGAAACCGATGATTTTGATTTGCTCTCCCAATCTTCTTCATGGTACAATGAACAACTAACCGACAACTCGTTGGAAACTATGACAAAACCCACAACTGCCAATTTCGACTTCAACGACCAAGAATATGATTTCTCGCAGTTTCTTGAGAGTTTTGATAAGAACGATGAAGAGAATAAGAACAATTTCTCCCAAGATGTCTCATCAACTACCACCGTTGATGAGGATGCGAATGCGATAAGCCGGATGGATGGTTGGTCCGATTACATTCTCGACCATCCGAATTTCATATGATTCGAATTCCACGTGGGCGAGAAAGAGAAGAAGATGGAAGAAAACTAAAGGAAATAATACACCGTGTGATTAGTTGGACTTGTGTAGTCGTGGGGACAACAGTTGTGACATGTCGGATGTTTCAGATCTCATGTGCATATCCATTAGATAAAATCCGAAGATTAGGGTTTTAGGGCATCGTATTGAATAAAAAAGGGTTCTCTAATTAGATCGAGAACGGACCACTGCTTCTTGAGTTGTAAAATAAATCTAGCCCATCAATTAGTGTTTGATTCGCGGATTATAATAAAGTTTTTTTTTTAATTTCCGTGTAAAACTTAATTTCTTTCGTTAATTAATTAATTAGTGTACCATTTTTAACTATTCCTCTTCTTTATCTTTTGCAAAACATCATTATGACCATGGCGTGGACCTTACGAAGAAGACGTCACGTAACGATTAAACTCTATGTATGTGACATGAAAAGCATCACTACCTGATATATATATATATATATATATGTATAATGAAAGATAACATGTCTTTAGTGATTACTAGTACTACGTCACATTTATCTTTTGTAGTGAGAGTGCCTCTAGTGTTTTCGTGTAATGAATGATAGCATGGCCCCTCTACGCAAGGATCATCAAACCACAAATCGAGAAATGACAAGTGACCGTATATGTGTATAATTTATGTACTATATATATTGTATCTTTTTTTTCCTTGGGCATGTCATGCAAGAAAATAAAGTTTATTAGTAGAGAGATTATATAAAATGTAGGTTTTACAAAAAAAAACGATAAGAAAGTGACATTAAACGAAATGTTTAGATGCGCATGCACGTGAATGGTTAATATATACATACACATACATACATATATATATATATATATATATATATATTGTGAAGTTACACTGAAATGGCATTTATTTAAAAGGGCTTATATATTTTATTTTAAATGGGTATACTTATATGGGATATTTTTATTATAATTTTTTTATAATCAGTAAGTTCGATTTTTTAATTCAATTATATCTTTTTTTTTTTGTTAACGGTAAATGTATATTAATTCAAATATTTTACAACCAGAATTTAATCCAGAGTTTAGAGCCACAAAAAAACTCAGGCATATTAAAGAGAACAAATACAACAATTAATAGTCATAAAGATGTGGAAATCTTATTCATCGCAGCAAACCGTTGATTCGTCACGAATCTTAGTCTCAACGAGGCCTTCTCAATAGTAGAGGACTACTTAAATTTGTCTTTTCCCTTCCGAGCTCTACCGACTAAGGTAAAGTCAATTGGGTCTCGGAAAGTATGGGCAATTAATCTGGAACGAAAGATGCGATGAGCTTCCTTGATCATATCATTTTCATTATCAAATTCAATTATATCTCTCAAAATATCAAAAAAACTTATGTGAATGTATTTTTTCAAATTAAATAGAGATTCAAACCTAAATTGAAAAAATACTTTTAACTCTAACTTTACAAATTGAACCACGTGATCTTGGAAATATTTGTATTATAGTTTGAGAGGGATTCCCTGGTCATAGAAAACCTCATCCGAAGGACAAGGAGCCGAAAAACCACGTGTTAGTGGCAAAGAACGATACTTTGTCCGTCTACGTTTGGTTTGCATTGTGAAACCTAACATGAAATCTTAGATTTGGTTAAAGATTGATGAATACATTTCTCTTAAAGAATACCCACCCAGAGAGATAAACCCTAGAAATTGATTTCACATGGGCCTTGCCCTTGTCTACAGAATTGGGCAAACACCCCGAAGAAACCCACCTTGCTAAGTTACCCACCTTCATATAATCCGTGGGCGACTCGCCGTTTTCCCCGAGGAAAATCCAAAAATCTTCACTTGTTTTCTTCTTTTGCGCCAAATTCGATCACGACCCGTTACTCTCCACGATGAGTCCGACGCCGGTGGAAGACAGATCCGAGATTGCCTTCTTTGATGTGGAGACTACGGTTCCGAACCGACCCGGACAGCGATTCGCCATTCTGGAATTCGGGTCGATCCTGGTTTGTCCGAGGAAGCTCGTCGAGCTCCGAAACTACTCGACCCTTGTCCGACCCGCTGATCTCAGCCTCATATCGTCGCTCTCCGTCCGTTGCAACGGCATCACTCGCGACAACGTCGTTTCCGCTCCTTCGTTCGCGGACATCGCCGACACCGTCTACGACTTCCTCCATGGTTAATCTTCTGATTCTTTCATCTCTTTCTCGCCCATCTGAAATGAATTAGAGAGGGAAAGTTTTGGTCTCTGGGATTTTAGCTAAAAAGTTTGTCACTTTTGAATTGTGATTAACTACGACCTTGCTATAGCTTCGTGGGTTTGTCAATGATTCCGACTTGCACCAGTAGAAAACGAGTTCTTTCTTGCAGAAATGAATTGAATCCAAAGTGCTTTTCTTTTTGTGTGTGTCTACATGGAAGAACATTATGGGGATAGCAAAATGACAGAGGGCTTTGCTTCACTGATCAGCAATTATATTACAATGGCTCAGGGATTGATGTTTGGGTTGTAATGTATGTCGTAGGGAGAATTTGGGCGGGCCACAACATATTGAGGTTTGATTGTGCGAGGATAAGAGAGGCATTTGCCGAGATTGGCAGGCAGCCACCTGAGCCGAAAGGGACTATCGACTCTTTGGCTTTGCTAACTCAAAAGTTTGGAAGGAGAGCCGGTGATATGAAGGTTTGTTCTTGCATACATTTTCCCTTTCTAGAATGCACTCTTGGAGGGTTTGGAATCTGGAGTGATGAAATTGGATGGAACTCAGTGATCTTTGTTTGTCTTGACATATGATCTGTGTGGTTTTCGGGTTATTAGTTTTGGAAAGAATTTGCTCTTTGTTAGGATTTAGAGGCTAATACTTATCCAGTGTGTCTTTTTTTTGGGCAGATGGCAACTTTAGCTACATACTTTGGTCTGGGGAAGCAGACACATAGGTAAATTCTCCGAGTTTTTATGTTCCTTTTCACACTGTTTTGGTCTGTATTTCTGAATCGAAGTTTCGATTATGCTATCGTTGTGTTTTGATGCCTCAATTATCTTCAGGAGCCTGGACGATGTCAGGATGAATCTCGAGGTTCTCAAATATTGTGCCACTGTATTGTTCTTGGTATGTTCTCCTCTGTTTCTTGAAAATTATGGAATCACGTTCATACATTTGATCCCATTTCAACAGTAGACTGGTTGTACATTTCAAGAATGCTTCTCACTTTGATGAGAAAAAACCCCAAGGACATAACAAAAAAATTCATACTGCAACTAGAGCTTGATTGCATTTGTTTCAATATCTGCTAAATTCCAGTCAAATCGAGAATGCTTCTCAATCGGAGAAATGACCGATGTTCTGGAGCTAACGAGAGGGGCATGCTTTTGTTTGACAGGAGTCGAGTCTCCCGGATGCACTAGTGGAGAGTTCAGTTTCACCGGAAACTAGTTCAAGAAGGCGTAGAGCCACGAGAAGATCTCTTCACGAGGTCAGTCCATCGTCTACTGTGGATCAACGGACAGTTGAGAATGATCTGACTGTACCTATTCCGTCCACATCAACTCAACCAAATCCATTCGACTTGAGCCTCTTGAGAAATGAAGTGGCTTTCACTGCCCTTCAGTCAGATATTCCGATGATGGAAGAAGAGGAGGAAGTAGAGAGGAATCAAACGCTGGGTACCATTGAAATCCAGGGTAGTGATGGTCATTCGGTATTCTTGGAGCCCGATGAAGTTTCTGTTCCCAATATCAAAGTGATCCTTGTCCCGTTTTATCACGGGTGCCAAAAGATGAAGCTTAAGCTACTCCATGGAGATAACCCTCTTCAGCTTCATTGCCCTCGTTTAAACGTGCGGTTTGGAATCAACGGGAAGTTTCTGGATAGCGCTGGCAGACGGAGGTTAAACTTCGTGGTTGATCTGAACCCGAGCGTATGCAGGGTTCTGGAAGCATGTGATGGTCTTGCCCAGAAACTGACCGCTGACTCGGGTAGCAGTTCAGACTGGAATCCAGTGGTCATCCCGAGGAAAGGCTTTGTGAATTACCCTACCGCGAGGATACAGTAAGTTAAAAACCTGTCTCCTCGAAAACTGAAACCCGGTTGCGCAGTTATATCTTGGTTGGTTGATGATTCTTGGGTTTTTTTCTGCAGTATACCGACAGAGGTGAACGGAGATGTAACTCGGTACGGAGCAGAGATACACCAGAGAGACTCGTCTGGATTGATCCAGAAGCTAATCTTTAGCAACCCGAGCGCTGGAGAGCTCGAGTCCTTGTTGAACCCAGGGACGGTGGTTGACGCGTTCTTGACTCTGGAGCCATATGATTACCAGCAGAGAGCTGGGATCCGTCTGGTTGCTCGAACGCTGATTATACTCTCGTAATCCACATAGTGTCCGTAGAAAGACATGGTTTACAGTAGAGCTTACAAAACAACTGCTTTGTAGATATATTTTACTGTTCCTAATAAGTGCATCCTTATTACCTTTAGTCCCTGTTAGAATTCTTGCCAGAACGCTTCTCTCTCTCTCTCTCTGTCTGCTTCTCCTGTAAGATACAGTGTCATTCTCACAGATCTCAATCTCTTTAGCGAAATGGGGCATGACGGCTTCACGACACAGAAGGGTGCCGGGAAAGGACGGGTTGCCACGTGGCAGGAAGATCCAGAAGGTGTTCGACAACATCAAGATCACCTTTCGGATTTTCTCAGAGATCCGATCTGACTCGGAAGAGCTGCCCTCAGATCACAATCTCAGCATGACCTACTCGCTTGGACCCAAGTTCACCAACTGGGACGAACAAACACAAGGTATGGTTACCCATCAGAAGCAAAGTTCTAGGTTTGCCATTGACAACGTTAGAGCTGAGAAAGGAGACGATCACCCCATTGAAGTATGTAAACAAGTTTTGATATACTCGGAACAAACGCCCCCAACAACATTAGAGCAGGAGCTAGCAGCTGAAATGCACCACACATTTGGTTAAAAAATTCAAAGGATGAATGATCTTAATATTACATTGAAGTTACCCTTTGTCTACAATGGACCTGAATTGTCACCCTCTTGGCTCCTACTACACCAAAGGGTTCCTAACGAGCATAAAGGAAGCTACTTTGGATCTCACGCACAAACTTACAGATTATGAAGATGGGAAACCAGAGTTCTTGATGGGGAAAGTTCAAGCCTTTTTTTTCCTCATTGTGATATCTAGAAGAATAATACAATCAAGAAGAAGAAGAAACAACAAAAGAATCTGTGGTCGGTGAATCTTTTGATCAATTTGGAAGTCTTGAGATGACATTCTTGTGGTGCTTAACCAGCAACTCGTTTACCTGAGCAATCTGATGCAAGAGCTGAACGATCCTCTGCAAACACAGAGAAACAAAAGACTCATAAACCGTGTTAATTGATCCAACTTCGTGTCTCACTGATTTCATCGAACACACTCTTGTAAGGAAATTGGAAACCAACCTCGTCTTTCTCTTTGATCACGTTTCTGAGATGTTCCATGGTTTCTCCCTTGCACCGTCTCCGTCGAGTTCGCACACGAGTCCACCACAATGTCGCGATGGCAAGGACTGGATATAATGACCGGAGAGTACCTATGATGGAACTGAAGTTACAGCCGGAGAACCATGTCAAGGTATTCCGGAGCTTTGAGAGTACGGGAAGGAGAAGAAGTTTCCACCAACAATGGACGACATCGACCTCACGCGAGGAGCGACTCAGTGGCTTCCGAGGCGATTCTGCGACTGCATCGGATGGTGGAGATTCACCGTCTAAATCGGAAGACAGTCGTGGAGATTTTCCGTCGGTCTCGGATGGCTTCCAAGGCGATTTGGGGTCAAAATCAGCCGCCGTCCACTGCGGTTGTCCGTTTGAATCCGACGGAGACAGAGAAAACGACGAGGACAAAGCGGATCCTTGCGACGAAGAAACCGGAGAGGAGGATTCCGACGGCGAAGGAGAATCCAGATTCCCGACACCTCCATCGGTGATGGAAGAGACCTGGAGATTCTCATGATTGATCGGCGGGAAGACAGAGAGGTCGTCCTTGACGGAACCTGCAGAATCTTTGATGACAACCATTGGCCAATCCGTCTTGTTCCTGCGAATCGGGAGCCCAATCGGCTGCTCCACCCAGTACAGGTCATCCTCTTCCGCCATTTTCGCAGGATTCTCCTGAGAATTGCTGCCTCTAGGGTTTTTGTCAAAAGAAACGGCGGAGTAAAATGCCTGCTGTTGCAGAGGAAACCAATCGCCCATCTTCTTCAAACATCGGTACACGTGACGAGTTTCTTGCCTGCGTTCGCTTTCTTTGTTTAAAAAACCAAAAAAAAGAGAGAAATATAATACCGATCAAAAAATACTGACGGACCGCACCGAAGCGAACCGAAAAGCTTTGGGAGAACCGGAGAAAAATCAAAATGTTATGTAACCGGACCGGTTAGGGTTTCACAATAGAGTGATGGAGGTCGGATTGGATTCATGTTTTTCGGTTATTTCAGAAAATAATAAACATTCTATTGAATTCGATTCGATTTGATTAAAAATTTTCAGGTTTTATCATAAACCGATTCAATTCGAATGTATTTTTTTTTGGTTTTATAAAAATTACTCAATAAATATCCAAAGTCACCTTGGTGCTCCATGAAAGCAAAGTTTATGCACAACACAATCTACAAATAAAAACAACCAAACAATTGGAATTAAAAAAGGAAAAAAAAAAGAAAAACAGAAAAAAAAAAAATCCCAATTTCCTTCAAATAAAAAAAACAGTCTTTCTAAAAAAAAGGCCCATTAGACCGAAAGAAAAAGCACACGTTCACGTCGGAATCGCCGCCGGCACATCGGAATCTCCGACAGGAATATGAAGTAAAGTCTTATCCTCGGACAGATCAGCCTGAGCCGACGCCTCCTGAAGCTGCAAGGCGTACTCGAGATTCCACAGCACATCCCCCATCCCCGGCCGATCACTCCCGTACTCCGCCAGGCATTTCTCCGCCGCCTCCACGAACTTCCTCAGCGACCCTGTACTGATTGTCCCGACAATCTTCGGATCCACGATTCTCTCCAGCATCCCTTTCCTGTGCAGTTGCATCGCGTATTCGGCCAAGTTCACTTGCTCTCTCGGCAACTGCGGGTTTATCACCGGCCGGGCACACAGCGCCTCGAACAGCACCACTCCGAACGAGTACACGTCCGATTTCTCCGTCAGCTGCTGTCGTCTGAAGTATTCTGGGTCCAAATACCCGAAACTGCCCTTCACCGCCGTGCTGACATGCCCTTGCTCCATGGGGGCAGCTTTGGAAAGTCCAAAGTCCGAGACTTTAGCCACCAGGTTCTCGTCCAGGAGGATGTTCGTGGTCTTCACGTCCCGGTGGATGATCCCCTGGGCCGCGCCCGTGTGGAGGTAGTGCAGCCCACGAGCCGCTCCTATGCAGATTTCGAGACGTTGCTTCCATGACAAGGTAGGTTTAGGGTTAGGGTCGTCCTTTGAGGTGTAGAGATGGTCGCGGAGGGGGCCGTTGGCCATGTACTCGTATACGAGGATCATCTCTTGTTGTTCGTCGCAGAATCCGATCAGGGAGACGAGGTGTCGGTGTCTGAGTTTAGACAGCATCTGAATCTCAGTCTGAAACTCGTTCACTCCTTGTTCTGAGCTCGGGTTTCCTCGCTTGATCGCGACTTTGGTCCCGTCATCGATTTCTGCGATGTATACTTTTCCGAACCCGCCGACTCCAATCACGGATTTCTCGTCGAAGTTCTGTGTTGCAGCCTGTAGTTCACTGAACGTGAAGAACCGGCCTAGTCCCTGGTTCGAGAAGAAGCTCGAGAATCCGCTGCTCTTACTTTTCCTTGACCCGAAAATACTCATCCGTCTCGACGTACTGCTCTTGCTTGAGAGAAAACTTGAGTGACTTGAGTGCAGAGGGAGCAACCACGACGAGAAACTATCGCGTTTCTGCCAGTCTTTAGGACGTCTTTGCCACCGGACGAGTAACATCACCACCCCGAACAGAGCCGTGACTCCCATCACGAATCCGAAACCAGCAATGATGATCTTCTTCGACGACATCCCGCTTTCACTGCCTTTGTACTCTCCATCTACCCCGAAAAGCCCATCCAGGCTCCCGGCTGCATTGTTCAGCTTCATGACCTCTAACCCATTCAGAATCGCGTTGGGATTACCAGACTGACCATTTGGGGTCGGACCCACCTGAACCATGATCGAGCCATTGGTGATCGCGGTGGTGTTGAGCACGAAATCTGCATAGAACGCTGTGGACAAGGCGTTGGTTTTGGACGAGAGATCGAAGCCAGAGACAGCAGAGAGCTTGTTGATGTAGATGTCGAAGACGAGGTCGTTGAGCGATTTGCTGACAATGTCACAGAAGTGTAGTCTGATAAAGTAGTCGTGTCCCTGATCCACGGACATGGTCCACGACAGGTTGAAGTTTGGGTCGATGGTTTTCGAGTCGGCCATCTGATCCGCCGTGGCGTAGACCGGATAAGGAGCGATCAATGGAGTCGCACCGCCTTCTGGGTAATCGATCGTGCTCGGATCAACGCTCACATTCCGCGAGCCGTCGGGGAAGGAATTGAAGGGTTTATCAGGCAGCCACGTGCGAGACAGAGTGTCGAACCTCGGCGTGATCATGTCGCCTCCGACATTCAACCGGTAAGAGACTTGAATGGCGAAGTTGCTCAAGCCCTTGAAATCAGGGGCCTGAGGAACGGATGAAGCCGAATCGGGGAGGAGCTCGTCGGGGGCGGAGACCACTTCGACGGCGTTGATGAACGCGACAGAGCCCTTGTGGGGATTGAAGTGTACGGACAGTTTCTCGGAGGCGTAGATGAGGTACTCCTTGAAGACGAGGGAGGAGGTGTCCCTGGCGGAGAAGTCGTGCAAGAGGACGGTGGCGTCGGTGGTGACGGAGAAGACGGCGGTGGTGAGATTGAACAGTGGGTGAGGGAGAGGGTAAAAGTGGAGGCGGACCCAGTGACGGCCGGGCCGGGAAATGTAGAAGGAGTAGGTCGATTTCCCGGCGAAGATCCTCGCCGTGCGGTACAACGGGAGAGATGAGGAAGAAGACAGGGAGGAGAGACGATCTGGGTTGACGGGAACGGAGTCGACAGAGGTTTGGATGTCTTGATCGGTCTGGAGGAAGGCGACGGAATCTGTGTCAGATCTGAAATTCCGACCGTCGGGGAGTTTTGTCCCGGCGGGAGACCCGCAATCGATGAGATAGTTGTCGACGGGAGTGAAAGGAGGAGGAGAAGAGGAATTTGATCTGTGGGCAAAGAGGGAAATTAAGAGGAGGAGGAGGAGGACAACGCCTCCTCCCATTATTCCCGGAGATTAGCGGTTACGACGGCGGCGGATGAGACGGAGACGGTGAGAGGTTCAGCATCAATGTCGGCACAGAGAGAGAGAGAGAGAGAGAATGTGACAAATGACGGAAAAGGACAACGACGAAGGATGAAGAACACGAAACGAGGTTTTGAAGGTTCTTCGCCGGAGACACGATCTCCGAACCTCTGTTATGTAAATCTGCGTTTTTTTTTTGGTGGGAATTGATATTTTTTTTTTTTTTTTTTTTTTGTTTATGGGAAGGATAATATTTTTACGTTGTTTGTTTTCGTTGGAGGCACGTAAGGGGAACAACGTGCGAGGCATGTAATACTTCAAACGACACGCTGTGCTCCGAGTCGATAGTGTTCTCCACATTACCTTCCACACTGCGTGCCGTTTTTTTTCTTTCAGTGTAATTTATAAACGACCGTCCAATAAACTATTATCAATATACTTCGTATCTTATCCCATTCCGGTGATTATGACATTCCATACAAATATATTTTTGTTGACATCATGTATTAGGAATAATACTAATTTATATAATTATATACATCTATATGAAGGTACTGGAAAGAATAATACTTTATTTATTAACATTATCTATTTGAAATATTTTATTTTATGCTTGAATATCAATCCAACTCTAATATGATATTCAAGCTCTAAATAATCTAACATAATTTTTGTAAAACAAAACTATGAAATTTGAAAAGATCATATGATTGTAGGCCCAATTCGTGCCCAATTGAGACCCAAATTGCGATCGTCCGTATATTCGGCCCGCCGAAAAACAATCGTGAGACTGTTTTTTAGTATATTATGTGCAACATAATTATTCCAATTTAAATTAAATGTTTCCATTAAGAATAATTTTAATTAAAAAGTCAAATGTCTTGTGTTATATTTCTAAGTCAACGTAATAGGATAAGCACAAAACTTAACTCTATTAGAATGATGCTTATTGTTTTGTTGGCCAAATTCCATGTGCATTTACAATTTTAATCATTCGAACTAAACATATATAATAATATTTAATAATATAAAATTTAAATTTAACCTCCATTTTTGTCAATATGACTATTGTACTAATCGACATTAATTATTTATATTATATCGTCACACAGTTGCTATTATAATCATCTTTTTCAATAATTAATATGCAGTAGCATTTTTGAATTGAATTCCCCCACATGTAGTTTATTTATTCATTTAAGCAAGGATATGTATGTATGTATGTATGTATGTATGTATGTATGTATGTATGTATGTATGTATGTATGTATGTATGTATGTATGTATGTATGTATGTATGTATGTATGTATGTATGTATGTATGTATGTATGTATGTATGTATGTATGTATGTATGTATGTATGTATGTATGTATGTATGTATGTATGTATGTATGTATGTATGTATGTATGTATGTATGTATGTATGTATGGGATTAGTTGGCCATGTCATAATATAATAATCGTCTGAAAAGGTTGATGCCAAAACAAATAAAATATTGAGCGATGACTTTATTGTTCTTAAAATAATTAATGATGGTATTAGTATAAAAACATCTCCTATAATACATATATATATATATATATATATATATAAGAAACAAATTTTAAAATCATGCCCAATATGAAACCGAATAAAATTTCTAAAATTATAAAACAAAAGAAAAAAAAAACAAACCATTCTAAATACCCATATATAATTATTTTATGCATGGAAAATGGGTGCCAACGAAAACGACGCAAATGCTAAATCACCCAACTAAAGTGTTAAATCGATGTTTCGTTGAACTAACAAAAATCTTTAAAAATAAAAATACTTTAAGAAAATAAAGAGTTTTTCAGTTTAAATTAATTTTTAATTGAAACAAAGTAAATTTTCGGTAAAAGTGAATGAAAAACTAAATCTAAAATAAAAATGAAACATCTATTTAATTATAATTATAACGCTAAATACTTTTTTTGACACATTTTCACCCCCGAGGCGTTGAATAATCAACTAAAGATATGAAACGGATAGAAGTACACAAGAAAATGACTAAATGGCATTACAAATTGTATTCTTTAATCGTATTATCATTATAAAAGGATAAGGAGAAAATAAAATAGGAATTTATTTTTATAAGAACTTATGCAAGCAAATGCAGAAACCCCTAACCACCAAATCCAAGTCAATGGACTGCACACCAAATTCATTACAAAGTCTTATAATACATTGAGATTCTAAAATGTATATAGAATCAATCGTAAATCAAATGCTATAATCTATGATTGAGTAGACATTATAAAATTATTGGTTAATTACAAGGTAAACATGGTAGGTTTGGCCCGACATATCAAATGCCTAAGGACAATATAATTTAATTATATAATACCCATTTTCCATATTAACTATTCTTATTCTTTTACTTGAAAAACTCAGTCTCCTCACTTTCATGATTATTCATTTTGTTGAATTTTCTGTTGTGTTCTACCAATTTTTTATAATAAAATATAAAAAATCCCGGTATTTATATATATATATTACCTTTTCTGTTGGCTTATCTATTTCCATCTCTAACACCCAACCCACCATTATTAAAATATCTAACAAAATAAAATAAAATCAAACTCAATATATATATATATATATATATATATATATATATATATATGTACACACACATGGAAGAATCTTTTGTATAAAGAAAACCCATTTCAAGATTTTGGTGAATAACTCGAGCAAAAACACACACACATTTTCTCTCTCTCTCTCTCTCTGCAGCAATGGAGGAACCAATCAAGATCACAACTTCCCACTGATGATAGGCGGCGGCCGTCTTCGCCCTCCCCTTCGCGGCGGCTTTCCTCCTCTCTCAGCCCTTCTCCCCCTCCGTCCTCTCTCCGCCTGACACGTGGCTTAGAAGAACTCCCCCTGTCGTCTTCAACATCAAACTCTCTCAAACCATTTCTTCCTCTCTTCTCACCTACCCTTTCTCCATCTCTTTCCTTCTCTTCTCAAAAGCTTATGTGATCAGACTTCTTCTCCTTGCAGATAAGCTCTCCTCCTCGTTCTCAGTTCTTTACTTCCGTCTTCTTCGGACATACATATGCAACTCGTTCTTGATTCTCTCAGTAAACGCCTCCGGTTTTGCTCTCTTCTTCTTTGCCTGCAATCTCCTCCAAGCGTTTGGATTCTCCTCTGAAATCTTTCTTGCATTCCTCTCTGTTTCTGCTGCCGTTATCTTCTTCGTCATTCTTGCAAACGCCCTTGTGATCTCCAACTTGGCGTTGGCCTTATCTGCGGCTGAGACATCATCGTCATCATCAATGGCGATTCTCAAGGCGTGCGTTCTGATACGTGGAAGGAACTCCACGGCTCTGTCTCTGTCTCTGCCTACGAATCTTGGATTAGCTGGTGTCGAGGCTTTGTTCCAGTGCAGAATCGTGAAGTCGTATTTATCGGGTGATAGGGACATTGCTTCGTTGGTTCTTGAAGGAATGCTCATAGCCTATCTGTACGCCATCTTCGTCGTTCTCGACACTGTCGCGAATTTCCTCTTCTACCAGAGCTGCAAGAACGATCAACGCACGGATCCAGAAGAAGGGTTCTCGTCCATGATCGAAATCCGCGAAACAGAAACCGCGAAATGCGTCGTCTGGTCAAAGGGTATCAAAAATGTTCCATGAAACACAACCTTCCATCGGAACAATGATGGCAACAGACGTTCTTGATTGATCCATTCTTGGTGAAGAAAACGAAGACAGATACTGAAGCAGCTTTAAAGAAGAGTAACAGGGCATTCACATGAAACTCAGCTGCAGGGAGGTTTTCGCCATTCCACATACTGTTCTGTTTTCCCAATTTGTCGCGACGTGGTCGTTACACCTTTTTCTTTCGTAATCAAAATGATATTTCCAATAATGTAAAGTCACGTTGCTACAAATTGTAATGATTCGTCCTTGGAAATTCACGTTTTGGTTAAACCTACAGCATAGTTTTTCGACAGGACGAAACAGAGATCATATCAAATCAAGAACCGAAATCATGTATCCAAGAAAAAGCCGATTCGCTTTTTGGGGACACGAGTTTTTAAAACATATCGTGATCTGTTGTTGATTGAGATTTGTTTACTCTGTGCAAAGATTCCGAAAGGATTATCAAATCGCATTTGTAGCAAATCTTTTTATTGGTAAAAAAAAAAAACAGACAGTCTGTGTCGGAGCCGCAATTTTCATGGACAGCAAAGATCGGAATGTTACAGAGGTCTTGGAACATGCAAGAATCAAGAAACAGAACAGAACTGAGTAAAAAACAATCGGTTTCCGATGTGAATCCTCGAACATTTGGTATTATGATACAAAATCAAAACTACCTGACAAGAGGTAAGAGGAGGTTCTCTCTCTCTCTCTCTCTCTCTCTCTCTACCTGAATTCCCGACATAAACATCTCTATACAACAAATCAACTTCCTCTAATGGAAGAGACCACGAACCATTCTACTTTACAAGTTAAAACAGATCAAATATCAATGCCTAAATAAAAAAACGTGATATAGAGAGTAAGGGTTAGAGCTTTGTACACGTACTTCCAATCGTACATCTGAGAATCTTCTCTGCCTTTTCCATCCTGATGGCCCGTCGGCGTTTTAGTTCCCTGTGCTTGGAGTTCGTTCAGAAGACGGGTCAAGGTCGTCGTTCTCCTCGAATTCCGTCGGAGAAGCGTCTTTCTGCAGGCAGAAACAGGCCTTTCAGGATCTGTGTCCATGTCTAGGACGAGCCGTTCATCGTTGTCAAGCCGGAGTTGAAGTTTTTTTTTTGCAGATCCGAGGCCATGAAAGTTCCGGCCCAATGCAAAAGCTTGGCTCAGGAAGAGGTTCTTGAACAGAACCAATACATAAGGGGATGATATGAGATTTTTATAAGTTGTCAGCTGTCTACTGCTTTCTTGGTTAGATTGACTCCTTTCGCTTTCTCCATCTCGGCCTCTTTCTCCGCCTTCTTTCTCTCCAGCTCGGCCTGCTTGACATTCTCTTCGTGTGCTTTCTGGAACAACCTTGAAAAATTCAAGAGGGTAGCAGTAACTGCAGCCATCGATGCGGTACCATTAGCTTTCGAAGCTTTGCAAAGAGACAGATAAAACATTTTCAGACTGCTTGCTATCTATACCTTGTTCAAATGGACAACGGGCAGGATCCTCGCCGAAATAGAGCGCAAGTGCATCGGCATTTCTGCCCTGTCCATGACAAAAACAAAAGCTTTATCATATGATCATAGGCAATGTTTATTGTAGGAGCCCGAAGGATCTGGAAGAGTTCTGTAAGAAAATTACCACTACAGAGTATAGATTCGTGACTGATGTCACCTCTTTATCGGCAACAGCAATGAACTCCTTCAACGTCTGGCCAAAAGAAGAAAAAATATGCATGAAATAATGGCCAACTCAACTTCTCGTTTGCTATTCCGCTTTACGTTACCAGCTTTTCATATTACAAAACCCGAAGTTCTAGTTATACAACTAATCGCAAATCATTCCTGCCCTGCCCATGACAAAAACAACGCTATATCATATGATCGTGCCATACATACACAATGTCTATAAAGGAACTGGTGGCGGGGTTTGTTTCTGACAAAGTTTGTAAGAAAATTACCACGACAGAGTATAGGTTCGTGACTGATGTCACCTCTTTCTCAGCCACAGTAACGAACTCCTTCAACGTCTACCATAAAAACGGAAATCAAGAGTTATGGAAATGGAACTAATCTCAGATCGTAATTTGATTAAAAGCAGGTGAAGAAAATGGCATACTTTACGGAAAACTTCAGAAACGGGCCCATCATTTTCCGAGGCGGTAAGCTCTTGCTTCAACTTTTCTAACCCTTTGATAATAGCTTGCATTTCCTCGGCCAAAGACTTCAATTGTATCTGAATTAAGACAAAATCCACCAATATGATGAGGCACTAAATATTATACGTAAGGGAAGGTAAAAACCACAGATAAGGACCTTCGTCGCTGCCTCAAGACTGCCAAGACCCTTGTGAAAGTCCAGCAAAGCCGGTGCCTTGGAAGCAAGAACCTGGGAAACGAGAGAATGGAAGCCCATAACCTAAACCGATCTTTGTAAAGGCTAAAGGTTGGATTTTTAGATCGTTGTTTATCCGTTATACCTTGCAAAGATAGTGCATGAGAGTCATCTTGCTGTTAGCAGCACGTGTATCGGTTAGTTTCAATAAACTATCCAGCTTAAACCCCACTGCAGAGCCTACATACATTGGGATATGTTGATCAATATTTCCATCGAGTGATTACAAGAATTCACGTAAGAATAATATAATACTTACCCCTGGCAGTTCCTTGGTTCAATGTATTCCCGAGGTAAAGAATCTTCTTCATAATTTCTTTTAGCTTCTGCGAATTACGGACCTGATATATGCCCGATAAAGGTTAAAACTACGATGAGGAGAAAATGAAAAATAGAGTTAATTATCACAAACACATTATTACCTCATCACATGCAGAGTTTACAGTCGTCAAACTTTTCTTGAATTCTGTAATCTGAAAAAACAAACAAACAAAAGTGTCGATAAGGTTTAAAAATTTACAGGACAGGAAGAGCCCAACAGAAACCGAAACTTTATACTAACAGTAACAGCAAGCAATACCACCGAACCTGAGTGCCGAACTGAATCTTGAAAGAAAACACTCTGAGCTTTGATTCTACACGTGGAACCTTCATTAACTCCATGAAGTACTACAATAACAAAACACGCAACGGAAGAAACTAAATTAACTTACGCGAACACATAGACATAGTTAGAGCCGGTCAACAATTAGAACAAAAAGGCGAAAGATCTTATAATCTTGAAGCATCATCAGACCTGTTCACACTTTCCCAGTGTCTCCTTGTCACCAGTGTAGTTCTGTGATAACACCAACCGACAAGAAAGCAATAAGAAAGCAAGAAAATTCTGGAGTATGGTTTCATAAGGACTATTCTGTTAAAGAGAATAGATTACACAGAGAGTGTTTCAACAAAAGCTGATACGTCACCTTAAGAAGTTCCATCTCCTCCTTAGTCGGGCAAAATTTTATAAGATTCTCAACTTGATCAACATCTAAAACAGATTCATCCATTGCCAGAACCGCAGCCTGGAAAAATGCATAGGATTATTGTCTCGCTAAACAAACAAATTATTAATCAGCATCAACTTCAGAAGAGATCGAAAGGGGAAAACAAAATAATTCTGTAGCTTACCATCATATCAGGCAGTGGCATCTTGACTTTTGTAAGCATAATTTCCGTGTTATTGGCTCTTCTAAGGTCAATCTGAAATATCAGATGACTTTTTTAAGCATAATTCCACTATCAAACAGTAAACAAGAGGTTACTAATGATATCGAGAGTAACCATGAGTACAACTTACCAGGTGAACCTTTTCAGGTTTCGCACCAACTGATTTCCGTCGGCCACCAGATTTATCAACAGGCTTTGGCACCGTAGCAGAGAAAAGGGTTTCTATCTCTGATACGTCGAATTCTGGGGATCTAGCACAGAAGAATAGTGATGATTAATGCAGAAGAACAATTACTAAACCCAGTAACTTCGCAAAACTTTTTCAATGCATATAAACGTATTACGAGAGGATAACAAAAGTAAAGGAAAAAAAACAGTATATGGAAGTCCAATACGTTTGTGCTTCTCCGTGTTTCTGTAATTCTTCCCACAAGCTTCCCTGCAAGACCCTTGTTACTTTACTCCAGTGTAGTGGCTTCAGAGAAGATCTTTTTACTGTTGAAGCTCCCAATCCTGGACGTGCAAGGCCACGCCCTCGTCCTGCACCCCTTGGATCAATTGCACCTCCAACACCAGGAGGTCTTGGAGCACCTGGAGGTGGAGGTGGACCAGGAGCCCGACCGCCAGGAGGCGGTGGAGGCGGCGGCCCTCCCCTGCCCATAGGAGGTGGTGGAGGCGGTGGCCCTCCTCTGCCCATGGGAGGTGGTGGTGGTGGCGGTCCTCCCCTGCCCATAGGAGGTGGTGGAGGCGGCGGCCCTCCCCTGCCCATGGGAGGAGGTGGTGGGGGTGGCGGCCCTCCTTTGCCCATAGGAGGTGGGGGAGGATGTGGGCCTACATGCAGTGGAGGAGGAGGTGAAGATGGAGCACCGCCACGCATGGGGGGAGGTGGTGGAGGTGGAGGTCCACGAAAAGAAGGCGGAGGTGGAGGAGGGGCTCCGGGTCTAAGTGGAGGTGGTGGTGGTGGAGGGGGTGAAGTTCCACGGAAAGGAGGGGGAACTCCACGTAGAGGAGAAGGAGCTCCGTGACCCGGTAGTGGAGGAGGAGGAGGAGGGGCCGAAACTATGTGATTAAAGGGAGGAGGAGGCGGTGGAGGGGGAGTTGTTCTACTAGGTGGAGGAGGCGGAGGTGGTGGAGGGGTTGGAACCCCAACTCTAGGCAGGGGAGGAGGGGGTGGAAGAGGAGCTGCAGAACCATAGATTGGAGGTGGAGGTGGAGGTGGAGGTGGAACTTGAGTTGCATTTGCTTTTGTACTAATCAGTGAGCTAAAAGGAGGGGGAGGTGGTGGGGGAGGGATTGGCAGAGAAGAGGAGCTTGTCAATGGAGTTGGAAAAAACGAAGTACGTATAGATTTCCAAGGTGGTGGAGGTGGTGTCGGAGGTACCATGGTTCCACTATTCAGCCTCTCGGATGCATATATAGGTGGAGGCGGAGGTGGAGGTGGAGGTGGAGGTGGAGGCGGAGGTCGAGAAACGTGGGATGGCTGAAAGTGGATTTCATTCTGGCTCAATGAATAGTATGGGAGGGGTGGCGGTGGCGGTGGCGGTGGCGGTGGAGGAGGTGGAGCCAGAGGAGGCGGCGATGATGCAACAACCTGTGAAGATTGCAAAAATGATGTTGCCCCACTGGATAGAGAAGATAGACGTGGTGGTGGAGGTGGAGGAGGAGGCGGAGGTGGAGGAGGGGCCTGAACTGGAGGAGCAGAAGCCAACTTTTCCTTTGCAACAGAAGCTGGCGATGAACAAATCGGAGAACGACTCCGCATTTCTGGAGCAGAAACTGTAGCTCTCAAATATTTAGCCTTAGCATCCTTCGGAGCAACCCCATCAGGAGATGAAGCTCTTTTCCCATCCTTGAGAGCACTCGTAAGTGTAGCAGCAGGAGAACTGTTAATCCTTGTTGGGGGATATGACACATGCATTGAATCTTTATACGAGCCCTTATTAGATGGGATCCACCGAGACACTGCATTTGGCTTTGCCATTCTCACATTACTACCCTGATTTTCTTGCATCTTAGACTTCTGCTTGACCGTATCCGCACCCGTTTTCGCATTTGTTCCAACCTGTTTCCAGGCTGTAGCTTGTGCATTTTCAGATTTCGGTTTGTTCAGAATGCTGTTAGCTTTCTGAGCTTTGGTTTCTACATCCTTCTGCAAAGGATTGCCTTCTCCATCGCCTTTGCCTTGGATTTTTTCTGTTCTAGCTTCATTTTCCTTAACCTCGACTGTGCTTTCCTTTCGCTGCTTATCACCATCATCTACTCCTATATCCTTCACTGACTGAACATCAGAATCCGCCTTCTCATCTGACCTGTACTTCACATCATCAACACTGATATCCTTAATCAAATCTGTTCCAGAATCTACATCATGTTCATGATGTGAATCATCAGATGCACAATCTAGAAATGCATGGGGCTCCATGTCCTCCTTCCACATTTCTTTACCCTCTGAATCATCTGAAGCAGCAGCTTCAACAACTACAAAACTATCCGAGTCTCCCTTATTAAGCTGGTGCCCATCAACCACACTGCTGAAAATCTCCTCCACCTCGAAAAATTCTTCCGGTGAAGTGACATCTGTATCATTCCCGTCTTGTGACGGTGGGGCTGTTGTGATAACGGATACAATGGCATCAGCATCCATGAAGAGCACCTGATAAAAGATTACGTGTATGCATTCAAAACTTTACGGTCTCGGAAAAAAGAGTGATCAGAGAAAGAAGTATAACAATGGCATACCTCTGCCCTAAAATCTTTTGGGAACCGGTCTTTATCATCCCAAAGTGTATCTATCTCATCACGACCGAGCATTAAAATATTAGCCCGCACAAATGCCGTGTGGAACATGACTCTGAACACCATCTCCTCGTGCACAAAATCATCATGCAGGTGTATACATTCGAGCACAACATCCCCTTGAACACGACAATGCATATCCAATTTCACCAGTGTACACTCTTCCTGCAGTTCAGGCAACAAACAATGTGGATACTTCTCTCGGTAGAGAAAGCCTTTAATAGATTATCAAAACAACCAAACAAAAAGTAGGAGAAAGAGACAATGATTCATTTCCGACAAAAGTATCTCCTGTACCAATAAGTAACAAGATTACAAACACAACAGATGTACCTGTTGGTAGAGACGAGCATGTTTCTTTGTTTTTGGAGTGGAAAACAGAAGTACGGAACTCCTGTTGGTTCGTGCTTTAGGGTCCTGACCATAAACTCGTATAATTGGTCTGCACCCTTTTCCCCCTTCAAAACGTGGAAGATCTCTAAGAATCAGACAATCCAAGAGAAGAGGCGTGTCTGAAGGAGGCCAATCAGAACCCAGATTTCTTCTCGAAATGTACTGAAGATATCTGAGTTGAGAAGGCTGCGGGTTCAAAGGAGATAAAAGATGAAGAAGTTCTTTCGGGGCTTGCTTGTACACCATTTCAAGTGTCTTCTGCTCGCCATTATACTGCTTTCTGTACAGTAAAAGTCCCGATAGCATAAAGGCAAGAACGGGCCAACCTCCTCTCTCACAATGCATTAACAGTACATTCTGTTGTCCTTCCAATGATAACCAGCTTTCGCTTGATCGTAGGAAGTGATGAATCATTTCCAGAGGTAATATCGGACAGCTCTCATATTGCCGAGGATAATCCATTACTGTCATGTCGTATTGAGATAATATGTCTGAAATTTGACTCCGCTTCTCCCCTTCTCTAAAGTTGAACACCATGAAAGAAGCATCCGGGTAATAGTCCTGTAGCTGTGTCACAATAGCTCCCAAGTACACCTTGTACTCATTTTCTCCAAGAACATCGGTGGAGAAACAGCAGTCGAAAACTGCAGAGAACAAAAAAACAAAGAAGAAAAAAAGATGAGAACCTCTGAACATAACACTGTGAGGAGAAAAGAAAACATACAATGCAGCTTTCCTGAAGTTTGGGAGCAAACCCACAAAGATAGAACATCACACTCTAAAAATGAAATACAAAAAAGAAGAATCTCAAATCAAGATCAAGCCCCTTTTTCAAAGCAGTGCAAAACCTAAAAGGAAAAAGTTGCCAGATCTGTGAGCAAGTGTTTGCTTCGTGTGACAATGGAGTATCACACAAAGAGGAAAATTCATCACAGTGGATTCGATTTGGAAAAACATCAGCCACTCCACAATTGTGTGAAGGCCTGTGAACCTTTCCTCAGAGACAAATCCAGCTCAATTACCATCCATTTCAAAACCAGTAGAGACCCTTCGAAATTGACACGAGAAAGAGCAAGATATTTCCCATCCAAATTCAGCTCACAAACCCTAAAACACTTGATTCTCAGCCAAAACTCCATCCCCCTGGAATTCGCAACTCGAACGCCAATAATTCCATCCATTTTCCGGGAAACATAAGAAGGAAAAGCCCTAAACTTTAGATATCTCGACATGCATTAGTCCTAGAAGCACCAGAAATCGTCGGGGGGAAATTTTTACCATAGACACGCTCGGAGATCTCGAGAAGCCGATCTGGAGGCTTTTTGTAGAAGAAGCGTCGGAACAGCGCCATCTGATGGCGCTGTCTCTCCTCCGATCGGATCCAAACCGTCGATTTAGTATACCGACAATAAGATCATCCTCGATTGTCCCGATTCTGTTGACCTAAACCCCAGATCTCCTTTCTTATTTCTCCCCCAATTTCAGATCGCAAAACCTAATTCACCCGGCAAGACATCCCCGAATCTCCAAATAAAGAAGGGTTCAATCGTGGAAACAGAAGCTCCCCCTGTCTCAACCGATAAGTGCAACTTCAGGACAAACCCAAGTCAAAAGCCAGGGAGACGACGCAAACCCGGGTGCAGAATTCAAGAAAACTTGGGTCAAACCAATCGATCTATGCACAATGCCGAAGCAAATAGGAAATCGAATTGGAACCTCACCCGACGTGGAATCAAAGAATGTTCTAGACCAAGCAGAGAGAGAGAGAGAGAGAGAGAGAGAGAGAGAAGAAGAAGAAGCTGATGGAATAGTAAGAAGCAAGTGACAGTAGGATCAAGAATTTCAGGGGGCGAATAAGAGGAGGAAGGGGAGAAGAAAAAAGCGAGATTTCGAGGGATCTTCCAACAATTGCCGAAGACGAGTGAGGAAAAAAAAAAAGAGCTCTTCGGAGGGTTTATATATTTTTGGAGGTATTATTATATAATTATTATGGCGAAAGCTCTCACGTTGGAAGTGTATTCGAGTCACATCTCACCGCGAGAGAGAGAGAGAGAGACAGAGAGAGACCACGAAGGGCATCGGACTTTCAGAAAAGAGACTCGGTTCCGACACAGCAGAAGACGCCTCTCTCTCTTGCTTGGCTGTTCTGTATTGTCCTACGTGGATATCCACCTGGACGCCACGTATGTTCGACTCGGTTCCAACAGAACAGAAGACGCCCTTGGCTTGGCTGTTTCGTATTGTCCTGCGTGTACATCCACGTGGACGCCACGTGTAATTCTCTAATATAAATATAAATAAATATATATATGTATATATATATACCCGTTGTGTGTGTATTTTATTTTAAGGGTATAAATTCAACGATTAGTAAAACAAAAGTGTAATTTACTTCTAGGGTTCCTCTTTCAGCACGCATAAACACTCCTGATTTCTGTTCAACCCTACTACTCTCTCGCTCTCTCATCTCCACAGTCGATTTCGTCGCCGTCTTCTCTAGGATTCTACTGTTGCCTCCGCTGCTGGTAATCTCCGACATCTCTCACCTTTTTCTTCGTTAATTAGCGATTTTGTCGCTCCTGTTTACGTTGGAAACGCCGCCG